CTCCCAGGAGGCTGATTGGTGAAATGCTTAAAATTTCTTGGAGTGCTGCCACAGCGACCCGCGTCTGTGAGCGTTTGTCGGCCTCCGTCGCTCGCGTCTGCCTGGGGCACCGCTGTTCAGCCAGCGTCCCTCATAGCCCTCTCTTGTGCTGCAGATGGCTTCGGAGGCGCTCGAGCAGGCGAACCTGACGGAGAACGTGACGGACGGGCCCGAGTACTGCGGCGCCGGCGTGGCGGCATTCAGCCGGGGTTACCGCCAGCTACACGGCTACCTGGCGCTCTGCGTCTGCATCTTCGGCCTCACCACCAACATCCTCAGCATCGTGGTGCTGACGCGCAAGACCATGGTGTCGCCGACCAACGCCATCCTGGCCGGCCTGGCCATCGCCGACATCATGGTCATGGTCATGTACGTGCCGTTCACGCTCAACTACTATCTTCAGGCGTTTGGCGAGGCCAGCTTCAGCTACAGCTGGGCCGTGTTCATGCTGACGTACGTGCACGTGACGCAGGTGTTCCACACCGTCTCTATCTGGCTGACGGTGGTGCTGGCCGTGTGGCGGTATGTGGCGATCGGACACCCGTCGCTGAACCGAGAGTGGTGCTCCATGAAGAACACCTCCGTGGCCATCGTGTCCGCCTACATTTTCTGTCCGATCCTTTGCATCCCATCCTACCTCACTTTCGCAATCACGCCCATGGGAAACTTCACCGACCGCTTCGTGGTCGGCTTCAGCGACCTGAGCAAGGGCAATGACAAGTTCTTGGAGAAGTTCAAACTTTTGGATGTACAGCGTGCACGTCAAGCTGCTCCCGTGCATCATCCTGACCATCTTCAGCTGCTGTCTGATCAGCGAGCTCATGAAGGCGCGCAAGCGGAAGGTGGAGCTGCTGAGGAAGATGAGCGCCGGTCAGAGCAAGCAGTCGTGCGCCGAGCGTCAGGCGGTGCGAACCACGCGCATGCTGCTGGCCATCTTGCTGCTGTTCCTGCTGACCGAGTTCCCCCAGGGCATCCTTTCGCTGATGTCTGGCATCCTGGGCAAGGACTTCCTGGGGCAGTGTTACAACAAGCTGGGCGACCTCATGGACATCCTGGCGCTCATCAACTCCTCGATGAACTTCATCTTCTACTGCTCCATGTCCACGCAGTTTCCGCTCCACGTTCCAGCACCTGTTCCTGACGAACCGGTGGGTGCCAGTGCCGCTGAAGCCGTCCTCCACCGCCGAACAGACAGGACTGCACCCGGCTGTAGTGGCGCGGCCGCGCTGAGGCCGCGCGTGCGGCCGCGGCATCGGCCAGGAGGCGAGGCTGCGCCTCCCGGCTCGCCGCCGCCGGACCCCCGCCGCAGACGCGTGGCCGAGACTGTCAGCCACGCTGACCGCGGCGACTCGGATGGCCGACGAGCCTCCCGGCGCCGGCCGCCACGCTCTTGGCAGTGTCCGGCAGAGACCTGGTGTGCGCCCGGCGGTCACGTGGTCGTGAGTCGCCCCCGGACGGGCGGGTCGCTCGGCGCTGACGTCACGCCTGCGCTGCCCAATGAGAGCCCCTGCGATGGCAGCAGAGGTGACGCCAAATGACGGGCGCGGACTCGAGAATGTTCGCTGATCATTACCGTTCTCCATGTGCTTGTCGCTTGGCTGTTATTGTGGAGCTGGCCACTGTGAAAAGCGAGCTTACATGTTACGGGGGATCGCGACTGTCGGCGAACTCACTGTCGGACCCAAAGGCGTTCTTTGAATTTGTGCTATTGTTCGCTCGGCTCCGAGCGCGCGTGCCGCGGTGCTGACGTTGCGCTGCGTGGGCACCATTACCGCTGGAATCGGTCCAATTCATTGCGTATTCACAGTGTAGATGTGTCACACCTACTGCGATTTCTACGATGATGCTGTGTGACTATTCCTTCGTTGTGTCACTGGACGAATGCAATGGTGCCTCCATCATGATGAGCCCGTGTGAGGGACGATTGCATAAGGAAGGTTCGGTGGCCCTTTCTGCGCTCTGCTCTCCTTTCTGCTGTTAGCTGTTGCTTTGATTGCGTGAGCATCTGTCCCCGTCCCCACTCCTCCCCCGCTGATCAGGTCACTGCCTGAAACTGGTCTGGCCTTACATAAGGTTCACGGTGTTCCCGGATTGTCTGTGCGGTCCTGTTAGCGCTCTCTAGCGGCCTCCTGAAAGCATTGTTAAAATCTGGTGCTGTGCGGTGGTTAGTCTTCTCAAGCCTTCGTTTGCTTCCTCATTTGGCGCTCTGTCATGCTTGTCGATGCCCCGGTGAATGGTATGCCGCCAAATTAGTCATTTTTCAGCCCAGATCGCTTGCGTGCTTTACCTGGAAGCAAATGCTTCTTTATTCGCTATCTTACTTGCGCAAACTGCACTGGCACGATAACTTCTTGTTGGAGTTCTGCAGGCGTACTGTTCCGTAGCACATTGCAATGGAAATCGCCAATCAAAGGTCATCCATTAATTGTGTTACGCATGCAGGGGAAGGGTTTTGATGAAGCATAACAGACGCGCAACAAGGAAGGGCGGAGGGTTGAACAGCGTAACGTTGCAATCAGGTGTAGGTGAAAATCATGATAGAATATGTAAAAACAAATGCCAAGCATACAGCCGGATGCTGCCGGCTTCTGTTATGACAAGAAGCACGCCCGTTATTTGTTTCGCGTATCTAGCTCAGTTAGAGACTGAACAGACATAAAGTTAAGCAAGCGTAACCAGGGGAGGTTGTTTTGTCCTGGCGTAACCAGTGCGTAACCAGTGGGGAGGGAGGGTTCACAGTTTTTAAAGATGCGTAATTTATGGACGGCCCCAAAGCGGCTGGATTTCCGTCAGCAGATGGAATCCCGCAAACGAAAATCCGGTCTGACTCGCTGATCGCCGTCGCCTGCCGCAGACGTATGGCCAATGTCAAGATAAGTCGCCGCAGTTGTGCCGGTGCTAATGTTCTGACGTCATACCATGCATCGTCCCAGTGTCATGACGTCACGTCATGACGCCATGACTCTGGACGATGATTCGGCCCCAGCACGCGCCGCTGATGCTCACGCAGTCGATGCGCACGACTCCGGCGGATTTTTTCCGTCCTTCCTCTTCGGCTCTCGAGGTGACACTACGAAGCTTTTAGTTGGTGTGGTGCATGTGATAGCGAAGGAGACGGTTGATGGCGAATGAATACGTGATTGTGTACAGCGAATGAGAAACGTGACGGACGGTGATCAGTGAGAAACGCGACGTGTGATGTGAACTCAGCCTATGTGCTGTGGGAGGCTGTTTCAAAGCTGGGTTAAGGCGGTGTAACATGGAGTTGAAGGGCTGAACTAAGCTCCTCTGAGCTCCAAAGCTGATCTGTGAAAAGCTGAACCGGACTGTGCTGCCGCCAGTGGCAGCTCTAAGTGTTGCGCGTCTAGCGCTGGTCTTTAGGAATGGCTCTCCAAACAGCAAATATTTCGCGCACAAGTCCTCACGCTTTAGAACAACGATGCAGCCAACCATGTAGCAAAGGATGGCACTGGGTATACAATGGATTTTCCTTACAGGCATTTTCCTTACTGGCTGTAATAATGCGACAGAATCATGACATGTGCAATAGTCTCATGATATCAGAATGCCATGAAGTAATATGATATATCATGATATGAAAGGTGATACGCTTTGTTGAGTATTTCAAAACATCATGACACACGTCATGCTTTACACTTGACAATAGCTTATGTTGCATTATCTTACCCTTGCGATACTAACATGCTACACGCACACATCCGGTGAAAGAAAAGAATAGGCTGCAGGTACCTGATTAGATAAACTTGCCAAGAAAAATGTATACTTGACAGGGTATGATGTGTATGGAAATCGATATAGGCTAGGCTGGTACACCAAGCACGCATGACGCCTCCGGGAAACATTCACGATGATAGTAGCAACATAAAATGCCAAGACAAACAAAATAGATAACACTCTGCTCATGACGTATTGGCATTTTGTTTGCATTCGAAGACCAACTGCGGTTGACATGAAGATAATGTACATCAACTAAGGGGTTGGTGTAGCCTGCTGCTTGCTGCCCTGCTCTCGTTACTGGGGACGTTTGTTTTCTCTTTATCTGAATGCTCTCGGTGTCCAATAAATAACATAATAATCATGTGTGTCTGCCCTATGCGCGGTCATAATGGTCTCGCACCTATTGGCCAGCTTCACGGCAAACCACGGGCCTGTGTAGTGATAAGGCACAGATGTTCTTAGACCACAAGGTGAATGGGTATCTGATAGTTATCAAATATAGTTAACAAATCTTGAAACATTTCTGTAAATGTTTAGACTTTGGAATAAGGTAATCAAACCGACAAAACCTTGATCATGAATCAGGGATGTTACTGGGATTTCATGCATAGATATTTATTGCTAACAGATAATTCGCAGGTCTATACCGTTGTTTCGGTGATTCAATCCGATCATTTGAAAAGCAAACCGTCAAAAATGATATACAGCCTCGGCCGCCGGGCCGGGAATAACAGGCTCCGTGGTATGGTTACCCTTCCGTTGACGATGGCCCGCCTTACTCTATTTTGGAATAAACACTGGTAAAATTAAGTGCAACGCAACATTTCAACGTTGAAAAATTATACTTTGTAATAACAGCGCGGCCATAAGTAGGACAATAATCATGATGCGTCTCAACATTACGACGGGGGATCTGCATTTGAATGTTGTTTTCCCGAAATGACGTGATGCTTCAGTAACCTGAAAAGTTAGTAGCTTGGACCTGTCAGTGATGCCTAGCCAATAATTAATTTGGTTCACACATTCATGCTAAGTTTTTCGACTGAATCCCCAAGTGGCAATCGCCAAAACGGAGCAATGTCTTCGGTGGTTAATGCTTGCTTGACCAGTTAAATACTGGCCGCTACTTGTTTTACCAGTTCAAAGGACGCCTCTTTCCGACAGCGTGCGCAATCGCATGCCTACGAATCTATCTGCAAGCACAAAAACCTGTCGGGGAGGCTTTCCAAACGCACCGGGGATAAACATCGTGCTCTGGTTCTCAAGATAATGGTAAGGTGTGCGGTCAGAGGACAACTCAGTAGACGTCTTGCGAGCCTCACGCATCAGCCTGAAACACCTACCGACCCAGGATTACAATCGTCCCGACGTATGTATTGAATACGCCACTGCGACGGCATGCGAGCCTACCCGACGTTCTGCCCCAGATTGACTTCATGGCGCTTCGCAGAATCGAAAGCCCTCCTCCCACGCTCTCTCGAACGCGTGAGAATGACGTCGCGAGGATGTCGGCGGCGCCTCGTCCGCGCAGTCAGGAGGCCTGAATGGAAGTGATTTGCTGTATCGAGCTCGAGTGAGCCAAGTTCGTGGAATCGGTCGGTGCTCCGCGACAGATAACCTCGACAGGGCCCAGCCTGCCGCGTGCCACGCTCCGACCGGCTCCCGCAGCAGGCACCAGATTTCTCCCTGCCATTATGAGGGTGCATCGTTTACCTCATTTTCATGTGTCGTGAATTTAGCTTCAATAATGAACCTATCCTAACACACATTGCAACCTAAAGTGTGGCAGGTCTTTTCACGTTAACTTGATCATTAGGTTGTGTCATCAGTAACAAAACCACGTGAGACAAAGATATTCTTTGGCGCAGGAGTCCAAAAGTACACGGCATAGCAAAAGTTCTTCCCAAAAACTTAAATTTGTGAGGCGCGAGTCGATCGAAATTTTGCCGTAAATCGACACCCGGCGTTGCAGTCATCCCATGCTGGGCGGCGTCCGCCACCGCAGGTAACACCAAGCCGTAGGCGGCAAGGGACACAAAATACCTTTGCGTATAGAAATGATGCTACCGGGCGCTCGTTATGCTGTCGAACGAAAATGTCCCGGTCTAAGGTCTAATATGGGGGTCAGACATTGCCCGATTAATTGTCATTTGGTGGAAACTTTATTTGCTGTTGAGTATGAATTCGTATGAGCATGCTGGCTAGCTTTGCTTTAGACTTTCACTGCTCTAAGGCAACTCACCACACCCTTTGATGACACACCCTATTGATCATACATGAACCTAACTTAGTACCAAATCTGAAATGCGCATAAACCACGAAAAATATGAGAAAATCTATGGAATTCGTCAGGTATATCAGAATAACCGGATGATGCTCCTGAAACGTCCGGGTGTGTTGACGTGAGCCATAGCTGGATGATGTCCCCCATGAAACGTTTTTGTGTTTGCCCATTGTGTAAGTATTCGTCGCTTCACGTTTGTGGAACCTCGCGCTTTGTCCCATGCAGCCAGATTCACCCAGGTAAAGTAACAAATAGGTACACGATAACAGAGCAAAATGTTTCCGTGGCAAACCCGGCCCGTCATTTTCAAAGACCGTTTGTCAACAGGTCGTTTGTCATCAGACAAACGATCTGTTTCCCTGCTGTATACCCTAGGTTTCGTGCATTTCAGGTTTATATCAAGTTACATTATATTATATCAAGTTACATATCTGACTAGTGATGGCATATACGGTAATAAGCATGAACAGAGCAAGCATTTTAAGGCTACATCTTGGCGTACATGCCTTTTCAGCCAGCCATGATGGAAGTTTTGGTAAATCGCGTGAAGATCATATGACAACCGACGGCATTTTATGTTATGACAAAGGTCGCGGAGATCTTGAAGGCCATCAGGTAGATTTCGCCGTTTCAGATCTCAAAATGACTTCTGGAGCATGCACTGGCTCTTGACATGGGTACTCTTTTGAACTATCAATAGCGTTCTGGACGTAGAAGTCTTGGTAAAAACGAATTGATGATGACGATGATGTAACTGCATGAGCCGCACGTGAAACTGTTAAACATAAATTGTTCGGCTCATAGCAAGATTTGCAATTGCGCTTCTTATCAAATTTGTAAGCTTTACTTAAAACAAGACATTTGAAAACGCATTTAGAGTGTTGGAAACTGTCCTCGCATGAAGTGTTTGAGACACCCATGGAAGATTCAGGCGTCCTAACAAGGAAACGTCAAAGTTGTTGTCTTGTGTTTTGTGTGTGATTCTCTCTTCCACGTTTGAACCATCTCAAGTTGCATTATGGTCTGATGGTCCAACAGCCTTAGAGATGCTACTAGCATTTGAACGCTTTAAGCATGTTACCCCAGAACAATGCCTAGCAAAGGCAATGCGGCCAATGTTACACATTTTATAAGCATTCATACTTGCCAACTTTAATTCCCACCAAACTGCACCGAGAGATTTCCTTGTGCTGTCAATGCCCGCCTGCCTGCAACCCGGCGCCTCGGGGGCAGATGAGGTAGAACCTCATCACTGATTCTACCTGCTGTCTGTTTTTACCGCACTATACCGCCGATGCGGGCACCTTAATTAACCAAGCATTTGCATACCGTTGTGGTGGTGACCACTGAGGGGATAGAGGACTGGTAGACATTTCCACCCAGCTGGTGAGTTGGCTGTCATCCTTTCAGGACAGCATATCCATCACACAGGCACGCGCATACGCACACGCACACGCACACGCTCTACTCTAAGCATTTTGCTGAAACCTGTTTGGCGGTACGATCACTGGCTGCAAAGACATAGGACCCGTCAAAATCGGGACTGCCCTAGTCGGGCCATCAACCATCAAATTGCAGTTGGTTGACGGTGAAAAGCTCGGGCCGCGGCACCCCTCATAATTATTCAGAGGACTTTCGAGGGCAGAGCCTTGTATTCAAACAGGTATCCAGGTCAAGTGACTTCTATCCAGTGTCAATACGCACCCTAATATTTCCTGTGAGGTCTTCGCAAGACTCTTGCCATGAGGCTTGTTCTCGCAGCTGATAAGACATGCGCTCACAAAGACCTTACGCTAGCACAGGCTCTCACTGACCAGCGTTTCCTGTGACCGCGGCTCCAGTGCTTCTCACAGTATCAACTGTCAAAAAGCGCCTGCACCTTTCAACGTCGAAGACGCTATTGCATCATCTTCATCTTCTCGCAGTTAATGACCAAGCACGTGCCCTGGTCATGGAGTAAGTATTAAGACCACATGTCCTGCGTAGCTGAGTAGAAATGTCAGCTTATGCAAAGCGTGCACATGAATCGAAAAGAAAGACCAACTCTCATGACTTGGCGAATTTCGTTCCACACTTGCAGAGTCATGGAAGCTGGTCATGTAAGCTTCAGGAACGTGCCACAATATTCAGGATCACATCGCTCTCGCAAAACGCTATTCGCGGTACCCTTATCTAGAATTCACTGCCTAGCAATGGCGCTCGTGTGAGCTGAGGCACACGTGGCCGGCTCACTTCCGCATTGATGACCGCCTGAGGAGCGACTGCGACTTTGAACAGCGGGAGTGTAATGGCCGAGTGGGCAGTGCCTTCAGCTCCCACGTGGAGCTTGAG